GACAGCATCGTCGCCAAGTTCACCGGCGGCCTGTCCCTGGCCGAGGCCTCTGCGCAGGTGCAGAAGGAGGCCGCGTCGCTCGCCGAGCAGGCCCAGTACAAGTACGCCGAGTACTACGTCAAGGTCTTCTCCAAGCTCAACGCCAGCGAGGGCTGGGCCGCGAAGGAGCTGGCTCGCCTCGATGGTATCCTTAGCAAGGGTGGCCTTGCGCCCGCCAAGCGTGACGAACTCACCAGCAAGACCAACATTCTGAAGAGGTTCGTCGAGCAGGTCGTCGAGAAGGTCAAGGAGACCAAGGACGAGCTGTAAATGACCAATCTCGCATCCAAACAAATACGTCAAAATGAACCAACGCTGCACATGGAAAAGAGGAACAAGTAGTTTTGTAAGACTGGGGTCGCAGCGTTCCGATTTAGCATGAGATGTTCGCGGCTCAGCCGTCCCGGCACCTGAATACACGTACATGAACTGATGGTCTGCATGCGGTGGTAACGTCATTGATGGTTTGCCTGAAGCCAAGGGTCATGGTACAGCTCGAGCGCAACGCTCGCCTCGTGAGTTGAGCGACGAAAGAAGGTACCTTGGTAGTGATTGGCCGACTCTATGCAGGCTTTGCGTTTGAGTTTCCATCCTTGTCCTTGTCTGTCAGGAGAGCCGTCTCGAGGTTGTCCAAGCGGCGAGACATCTCATCCACTAGAGAGAGAGGGTCAGCTGGAGCTGGGGCTTGATAGGCACCTGGAGAGGCTCACTCTTGGCGAAGATCTCACTCGATATGCCAGCAAACTTGTTGGAAATGGTGTTGAGGAGCTCGTCGACGGCAGCGTTGACATCGCCTGCAGCGTTGCCGCCCTCGGTGTTCTTGGTTCTCGTTAGCTCCTTGCCATGGTGCACATGCGTTGGTTCCGAGGCCCAGGAGGGGCAGAGGGGCAAAGGGGCAGAGGGGCATACGGTAGGGGGCGGAGTGGAAGCCTTCTGGTCGGGGTTGCTGGACGACATGTTGATCGGCTGCTGACAGTCTTCCTGGTCGCTCGGGTAAGAAGCTTAATTGATTCCCTCGACGCACGCGAATGAGCTATGATGTGCAGACCACGATGAGTGCTTGCAATACCACCAGGTCTGGTGTAGCGTGGTGGCTGATGGGGGGTTCAAGACGTGGTGGAGGGGCGCGTGAGTCTCAGGTGCATGCCAGGATGCCAGGGGACCTACGACCTGAGGTACGGTTGGCGAATGCGGCAGAGGCTGCTGTGTCTTGCCTTAGCGTGCGATCCACCCACTGCCATCACGTCCGTGGATGAGTGTCAACCCTCCCCTGTGGTTGCCGACCCGGCCTTGACTTCATCTCAACGACTTCATCAACCACCAGTGACACCCTCACCCACAGCACATTCGCTTGGTTCTAGTTCTACCGCCCGCGCCATGCTGCCCCGCCACATTCCAAGGTAGGGTCGACACGAAATTTCAGGAGGATATTGTCCCCATCGTTTCTCGCGGATGCCCAGCGCCACCTCCCCTGCGCCAAGGGGACAGGGACAGTACGTGCCGCCAACATGCCGCCACGTCAACCACCGCAGTTCATCTCCATCTTCCTCTTTATAGTCTTTCTGTGGATTCTCTTCAGTCCTGAGAGCCCCAGCCAGTATCTCTCCTTCGGCACCATTCTTGCCGAGCGTGTGGAGCGCCACAAGGCTGCTCTCGAACACTTGAATGCGTCGTCCTGGGGCGACTTTTCCCCACCACAAAGCGACAGCCCGGAGGACTTTGCGCCCACGTACGTGAACTTGACGGGATTTCGACAAGGGGATGGCCTGGCCTGGGCAGACCTCTCGCGGTTCCAGCAGCAGTGCCAGGGATGGAGTCATAGGATCAACCCGCCCAAGGCAGGTCACGATGGACTGATGCACGGCGAGCGGGAGGCGGCCGTCTGGCAGAACGCGACCGGTATGCTCAAGGGTCAGTGGGTTCGCAAGGATGCCTCTGTCCAGCGAGGTGTGGCTGATTACAACCTGACCACCATGGCGCCGGAACACGCCTGGCCAGGCGTCTACTCATCGTGGTCCCGCAACATTACCGGCCACGAGGGAAAAATGGTGCTCGACATGATCGACACGGGCCGCAACGTGCGGGAGATGGCCTACGAACTGCCGTCTGACATTGTCGACACGGCCGGCGGTACCGTCCGGACGGCAAAGGCGTCGCTCGAAGTGGAAGACGTCCACGGCACCGGTAGCACCTGGGAGGTGCGCATGTATGGCGTGCAGTGGCCTCGTACGGGAACAATTCTTCTGACGACGACGAGCGAGAAGTTTGACGGCATCTTCGGCCTGCCGCACCTGGCCATGGGCCCAGACTATTTCCAGTCCAGCCAGAGGCTTCTCAGCGAAACTCTCGCCAATGTCGTACGGAAGGAGTCGACAACCTTTTTCAACACCATGAGCCTGCCCTGGTCATCAGACCCCGTCAATGCCCAGCAGGAGGCCCTCGATCCAGAACCTCACTGCGAATATGTGCTGTTTGCCCAGGTCCACCCGCCGGACAAGACAAGCCTCAACATGAGGGGCTTTGACCCGGACTACAACAGCATGGCCGATGTCATTCGGGACATTGAGCAAGAGCTCCGTTTCCCAAACGGCGCGCCGGTTCGAGGCATTCCCGAACTGCAAATGTCAGCCATCCTGTGGTCGCCAGACTGCGCCTTCTTTCTGGAGTCAAAGGGGCCGCCAGACTTTGCCTCGGTTGACGGCCAACACCTCGTCGGCAGGAAGATTGAGGTCATCTATGGCCAGATACGTTTCTGGGTCATGGCGTTCGCCACTGTCTTCCTGGGTCAGGTGTTTCTCTTGAAGGATCAGATGGAAGAATCCTCGACCCCATCGACGCTCTGTCGCATCAGCTACGCATCGATCAGCATGATGGTGGTGCTGGACGGTATCGTCTTTGGCGGTGCCGTCATTTGGGCGCTCGACGCTGCCATCACCTTTGTCGAGTCGCTCTCCCTGCTGATCACGGCCTTCCTTGCCATGGCCATTGGAGGGACATTCTTAGCGGAGATGCACAAGGTACAGGAGCCGTTGGAAAGGAGGCGGGCCGAGAGAGGTTCGCCGCCGGGTCGCGGCACGCCTCGCCCTTCACCAACACCACTGCCTCGCGAAGAGTCGCCCGCGGCGCCGAACCCCACGCCCGAAAGCGTTCCAACGCCTGCCCCCGAGTCTACGTCGCCCACACCGGCAACCCCTTTGCAGCGTGCCCCTTCGCCGCCCATCATCATCCCCTCCGATCAAGACATTGACGCTGAGATTGAGGAGAACGAGACGGCTACAGCGGCGGCGGCGAACCCACGACTACAAGCTGCCTCGGCTCGTAGCATGATTGTCGCGAGGTTCGCGCTCACCATTTCCTTCATTCTCATCCTCTCCATCATATCGACATCCTGGTCCTCTCGTACCCGATCTCTCTTCAGCAATGCTCTCGCCCTTTTTTACGTCTCGTTCTGGGTGCCCCAGATCCACCGCAACATCATGCGTAACTGTCGCCGCGCCCTCTCCTGGCGCTTTATGATCGGCCAGTCGATACTTCGCCTACTACCGCTTGCATACTTCTATCTCTGCGAGGACAACTTTCTCATGGCCGAGCCCGACCCCCGCGCCTTCTTTGTCTTTTGCGCCTGGCTCTGGGTTCAGCTCTGGATCCTCGCGGCGCAGGACATCCTCGGCCCGCGTTTCGGCGTGCCTGCCGGCTGGGCGCCCGAGGCGTGGGACTACCACGCCGTCCTGCGAGAGGACAAGCTCGAGGACGGCAGCTTCCCTGTCGGTCTCCTCTCGTCGCTCGAGCCGGTGCAGGCGGAGCAGGGCAAAGACGGCGCCGTTGCCGGAGCGCGCAGCGCTAAGACGGAGTGCGCCATCTGCTTCGATACGCTCGAGGTGCCCGTCATGAAGGCCGCCGAGGCGGACTCTACCGCTGGCGGCGTGGCGGGCGTGCTGAATCGGCGCAATTACATGGTGACGCCGTGCAGGCACATATTCCACAGCCCGTGTCTGGAGAGCTGGATGCGATACCGGCTGAAGTGTCCCATTTGTCGGGACGATCTGCCGCCGCTGTGAGTGGCGTTGTAGTATTTTGTACATCACGGGGCACGGGGGTTTACATCACACTTTGTTCATACTAAATGATGACATGTATTGGCGTTGTTTTTGAATATCTCTCAGGTTCTGCGGGCCTCACCTCTATACACGAGTCACCCTTCGTGCTCTGAAACGAAGCCATAATCTGTGCTGGATGCTGTCCATCCGTGTCATTGCGGGCCTCGGCCCTTCACGGGTCTCTTATGCCTTTCGTCTTCAGAGGCATGATGTATTCTGCTGGTTCTTACGATGTCCACGATACACTAGACATCTCCCGCCTTTTGAGAGATTTCCAAACCGCGTGCAGATCCAGGCAGCGAAGCAATGGATGCAACACAGCGGTTCAGTGACTCGGCTTGCACTGGCCCACGCCGTCATCGTGTACGAATGATGCAACACAGCTTTTCCAAGTCTATTTTCCATTATGTACTCCCCCGCAAATGGCAAAAAGTACCCCCAGCCAGAACAATGCTTGCAAGGGTCCCAGCTCCACCAAGCTTGCCAGCCCGCCTCCATCCCCACAACAGCCCCGTCCGCCAACTCCACCACGCTTCACTCGGTCGAAAAAACAAAAAACACCAAAAATCATCAAAAACATACAACATCGAGGATTCGCTGGTGGTCACCCACCCAACTACTAGTTCAACCCTTACTGGCTTATCTATGGGAGAGCGGACGGGATCCCGAGTTCTCCAGTAGGTATGGTCGTATGTGCTTGAACATGGTGCTTCTGGCGTTCATATCGGGTGAACAGCGTACAAGCTCTGACAGAATGATCAGTGATGATCTGTGTGCTCTACTGTACAAGGAAGATGCCTTCCGTTCTCGTGTCTCGTCTATTGAAAAAAAGAGAAGACAAAAAAATCAGCCTCGCCAGCCCCCTTAGTTCCACTGCTTGTACGACTTTTGCTTCTGCCTCGTGTTCCACCCAAGCTTGCCGCTGATGCTGTTGACCCAGTCCTCGCTCCGCCGGCCGTGCGCCTGCACCGAGGCAAAGGGGTAGCGGCTCGCGCTGATGGTGACGTAGTCGCCCGGGTGCAGCTCGACGCGCTCGCGGCCGTCGAAGCTCGCCCACGAGTTGGTGCGCACCGTGTAGGGCACGCCGACGCGCAGCACGATCGTGTCGGGCAGGATGATGGGGCGGAACGAGAGCGTGTGGGCGCAGATGGACGTCACGAGCATGACGGGGTTCTCCGGGTGGCAGAGGGAGCCGCCGGCCGCCAGGTTGTACGCGGTCGAGCCGGTGGGCGTCGAGACGCAGATGCCGTCGGCCTGCACTGATGTGAAGTGCTCGTCGTCGCCAAAGATCTCCGTGTACGACATGGCTGAAGCCTAGTCAGTCGTCGTCTCCAAAAAAAAACTAGGTAGTGCAGTACTCACTTGGGTTGGGGCCGCGGTCCACGACAATCTCATTGAGAATCTCATAGGTGCCGTCGGGCTTGTGCGTGTGCTCATTGTCCTTCTCCTCGCCGATGAGCTCCTCGACGAGATCCCTGCCTACATTCTCGTCGTCCAGCGAGCTCGTGCTGCTGGCCGCGTCGCTTGTGCTGATACGCTTCTGACTCCTCATGATGGTGCCCTCGAACCGCAGCCGCAGGCTCACGGTGACGCCCTTGTTGAAAGCGTTGGTCAAGATGGATCGATGGTCCTCAAAGTCAAATTTTGTGAGGAACCCGAGACTGCCGAGCGCAAAGCTGAGAATGGGAGGCACGATGCGCTGGAACAACCAGCTCGCGTAGAGGACTGTGCCGTCGCCGCCGAGGGTGATGATGAAGTCAAACGTGTGCGGTCGCGTGCGGCACATTTCGTCGTCCCAGTAACGCAGCCGCTTGGAGATGGACTCGCCGCTGTCATTCTCCCCGAGCTCGCCCGCCTCGACGTATTCCGACCGCAGCTCGTCCAGGAGACCAGAGGCGTTGAACTTTTTGCTGTCTCGGAACTTGTTCTCGACGTAGACGGTGTACCGGACCTCGTGGTCACGGCCCAGAAGCCACTTGACGAGCTCCCTCGTCCGGGGGATGAGATCCGCGTCATGAATCTTGGTCAGGAGGAAGATGGTCTTGACGCGGAACCGGATGCGCATGCTGCTGAGTCGTCTGCTGAGCTCGCGCACGCCCCAGGCCATGTCGCTCAGCTGCTTCTTCGTGAGGAGGCGGCTGTGCAGCTCATCCTTGGAGTAGACCGAATCGTCGACCGCGTGTTTCTGCGCGCCCGCCATGTTGACTTGGGACTCGGACTTGATAATCTCGTTGCGCCACGCCTGCTCGTCAGCCTGGCCGTCCCCATCCTCGCCCGAAGCGCCGGGCCCCAGGATATGGGCGCGACTCTTGTGCTCCACCTCGCTGCCCTTGACGTCCACCTTCTCTTCGAGGCCCTTCTCACCAGACAGGTCTGTGGATGGCTGCTGGCCTGGGCGGTCGTATGCACCATGCGCCTGGTAGTGATCCGAGCCGGCCTGCTGGCCTCGAGGGTCGTGGTGGGCCTTCTGCGCCTGAAGGAACTGATGAACCATACAATCGGTGTTCCGCCGGGCATGCCTCGCCGGGATCATCGATGGCGCCTCAGCAGACACGAGCGAGCTTTTGCGACGGTACGGGCTGCTGGGGTCGAAGGTGACCTGACGTCCATGGTCAGCGGGTACAGTCCAGTAATGTCACTCACTCACTCCATGATGAAGGGCCACATGAGATGAGAAGAAGACAAGGGGGGGCAAACCTCGACGGGCTTTTGGTACTCGCCATCGCTGCCACTGGTGTGGCCATCATCATCGGGAGCATACGAGCCGCGCCTCTCGTCATCGTGGCCCTTGCTGCCCATGATGTCGAGCTGGCTACAGTGAGTTCAACGAATGTCGCAGGGGGGGTGCTAGAGCTGTCCTTGTCCTTGTCCTGGCTGTGGCTTCCCCGGCTCGTCTCGTAGGCGGCTCGTCTCGTAGGCGGGGCAGCAGCAGTGCTGGAAGGGTCAGAGAGGCAAAGGTACGAGAACCCCTCTCGGTCAACTGGAGCAAACGCTGCGAGGGGGCGCAGGTGAGGAAATGCTCTCGAGATTGAAACCGATTGATCAGAGGATTCCGAGGTATTTTCCAACAAGGCGGGAGGCACTCATAGCCATGGCGTGGATGAGCATGAGGGGGAAAATGACATGGACCAAGAGATGTACCAAGCGCTGAGTGAGCTGCCATGCCGCAGCGCGTCAGGTGCCCTCAAGCGCCGGGGGGATTCCGCGTAGGGAGCGGACAGTGGGCGGAGTGGACAGTGGCCGCACTGGACAGTAGAGGAGCTTAGTGATGACTTGGTACCTTATGTTGGTACCTGTGGCGGTGCGCGCTAGCCGTAGACCGCCTGCCACGATGCCCGCTGTCTGTCTCGGTTCACGGCGTTTTTGACTCTGATGAAGGGGCCGCCCTGAGTCGATTGTATCGTAGTTCCGCGACAACGCTTCATCATCACTCCAAATCTGCAACCGGATGCTCATTCAGACACGGCACGCTCATGGCAGCATACTCTACGTACAGTGTTGGTGGGCGTAGGGAACTGACATGGATGCCAAGCCCAGGTCTGACAGGTGCCGAGGTGGGGGTGTGGCTCGAGCTCTGAAGGTCCAGCACATGTACCTGACAGTCCTGTATAATAATCCATCGCTATCGGCCTGGCTCTAGGTACCTTATCAGTTGTGCCTGCCCTGGCAACTTCATCCCACCACGAAGATCAAGACGGGGAGGCAGGGGCCCTTCACGATCCTCAACTGCACCTCCCGTCTGAAGTGCCCATTGCCCGCCAGGCTACCAAAGAGGCCTCTAGACAAGGCCGCGCTCCCTCCCATTTCATCCCCATCCTCGAATCCACCAAGAATGCTATCCGACGTCTCCCTCCTACAGCAGTCTTTTTCGTCATTCGCTTTTCTACGAGTAGCACCCACCGCCAATCCTCGGCCTGCCGACCAGGCGCAATCGAGCGCCACCAACAGCGGCACGCGAAACCTTGCACCAAGCCCGTCAACATGAATTCTCTATGGCCCTCGAGGCCGCCCAAGGAGGAGAGCGAGACTAGCTCCGACGAACCCAAAGCCGAAGCCGCAGATCCAGGCGAACAGCCTTCCGATACCACACCCGAGCAGGACAACCTCCTGCCCCCTCCTCCACCACCACCCGTCTCCTCGTCTCGCCCCGGCCTCATCAGAAACTCATCCATCCCACCCGAGGCACCGACAGCACCGGCGCCCCCTGTACCCATGCCTCCAGTCTCCAGTGCCTCCCAGCCGCCGACCGACTCGCTGTCTCTCATGCAGCTTAGGAAGATTGTAGCCGAGTTCAACAAGGCCGAACCCGTTGCTTACGACTTTGCCTACGAGGATGCAGGACCACACGAGGAGGAGATTGACGAATGGTTCAGTTACCAATTCTGGCAGTGGGTGCGCCTGAATGCTGTGCAGAGCGCCTTCGAGTCGCAATGGCAGTCGCACTACGACATGGCATCGTGGACCGACGTGGATGACGACGCGAGGACCGACTTTCTTCGCGAAGCACTCGACAGCCTACAGGCTTCGCAACAGGCCGATCGCTTGGACGCCGCCCGCGTGCTGTTGTACCTCTCGCTTGGACGCTGGGTCGACACGGCCGTCCCTACACGTCGCACACACGGCCTCAAGTCTGCTGCGAGCCCCTCACAGCTTGATGCGATCAAATCACAGGCCATTTTCCTGACGTCACTCGACGGACTGCGCATAGTTTGGCAGTCCATCCAGGATTGTTTCGAGGCCTTCTGGTTCGTACCGCCAGCTTCCATGGCCCCGAGAGAGCCCATCCCCGCTGACCAGTTCTTCGTAGGTCTGAGGACCAGGGCTTCCCCCAGCCGGGAAGTGCCCAAGACGCCCAGGACGAGCTCCTCAACCTCATGACGGTGCTTTACATCACTATCCAAGAGACGTTGAGTGATCCAAGCTCACTAGAGGCGACGCGCTCAGCACTACGTATGTATGCCCCCGTGAAAACGTTACGGCATCTCGCGCCAGAAATTGACATGGATGGCAGTTGCTCTGAACCCCGGATTGGTCAACTTCATGTCACTCGCGACATCAAAAGTACGGTGGGACGAGACAAACACGCTCCCGTTGAACCAAATCCTCCTCCTTCTCTGGAAGTCTATCCTCTTGGTCTTTGGCGGCATTGACGAGATTGTTGCCGCCAAGAGGGCCGTCAGCGAGACCGACAAGGACGAAAAGTCTGCCGCCATCATCTCAGCATCGCCCCTGGACTACCACACGTTCCGTCAAGAGCTCACCTCGAAATACCCCGCCTACCTACCACCGGCACCTGCCATAAACCTCGAGGCCGAGAGCACCACGATCCTCCCCCCTCCATCAAACCAACCCCCTAGAGCGTCTGCGAATGGCATCATCCCCGTGGCGCCCAACACGCAAAGCGGTGGTGCTTCCATCCTCAACCAACCAGTGCACATTGCCACCCCGGCCCCTTCACCTCCACCGTCCCCTAGTATTGGTGGTAAAGGTGGTAAGAAGCAAAACTACCAAACAAACCAGAACTTCCCTTTCATGTACCCGCCCCTGGATACCACCAGCAACAGCGCTGGCGGCAAGGGTGGCGCGGGTCTGCAGGATACATTAGTGGGACGGAAGTGGAAGGGCAGCGACATACCGGCATCCATCCTGGAGGCCGGCAACCTCTTCTCCGACCGAGTTCGGCTCAGTCGGGCCATGCGCCAGCTGTGGGATGAGCGTGTCAGGTTTATGCAGACCGGCCGGGGCTGGCAAGGGGATTCCGATGACGACGTCAACAGTATCGATCTCGACCCCGACATTGACCCCGAGGAAGACCTTGGGCTTGACCTCAGCGACATGACGCCTGAAGAGAGGGAGTTGATTGCTTCGCTGAGAGGTGTCAGCAGTAAGCGCAAGGCCGAGAGTGAGCCGTTGGTCGATTATGGTCCTCATTCCACCATTGACGAGGACGTCAAGAGCCGTCTTTTGGCCGTGGAGAGTTTCTACGTGAGCGAAGCTGGTGCCTTACCCCGTCGCGCTTTGGTCTCGCGCTAACCTTCTTGCAGCAAGAAATGCTTCCTCATCTGCAATCTCTAGTCATTGTTCTTCTGCGGCCCATCTTCATGAATGTCTCAGCTCTGTCCCAGCCGGGGCCAGCGCAACAGCATCCGAGCATGGCTGGAAGGGGCGCGAATGCCGGCGTTAATGGCGGTCCGGGGCAAGCGCGGCAACAGCAGGATCCTTCGGCACCAGGAGCTGGGGCGCCAGAACCTCCAGAGATGTCTCCGGAAGAGGTCGATGCGACGCGGTCGAGAGAGATCACGACAAAAGCGGCTACCGGAACGCTCTTGCTGCTCCTAAAATGGCTGAAGCTGTCACGTAAGCTCTCTTGTTTGTCTTTGCTGGTCTGTTCATTACCAGCTCACATTCACAGATGTCCTCAAGTTTGAATACCTCACACAGCTCTTGCTGGATCACAACTACCTTCCCCTGGTCCTCAAGCTCTTCGCGCACCAGGATATCCAGCAGGCTGTCGACAGCAAAACGGACCGGATAGAAAACAGGTATGTTTCTGCGCTATGCTGACAGATGGACGAGTCTGACTTTTTAGTTTCTTCCACTTCTGCAACTTGAGGTCCAGCCTGGGGACCAGAGACGAGCCTCCAGCCGTGCCGGCTCCCGAGGATGAAGATGAATTGATCGAGAGCGAGGACGATGCGGCACCTCCGCCTATTCGCAGGCAACGATCGCCTTCGGCGGTTCCCATTCCTGAGACGAGCGAGGAGGAGCAAGAGCCGCCGGAAGGTCAAACCTCGGCGCGACCCGAAGTCGACGAGCTCGGCTACCCAGTCAATCCCTTGCCGATGGAGCCAATCACGGACTTTTCAAGGCGGAACTTCCTCTCGCTCATCAACTACCTCCGCATCATGCAGAAGATCTGCAAACGCAAGGCTCACCGCAACCTGCTGCTCGTGCAGTACAAGTCGTCTAACATACTACGCAAATCGCTCAAGGTTCCGCAGCAGGAGCTGCGCCTGTACACGCTCAAGCTTTTCAAGAACCAGGTGCCCTACTGCGGCCGTAAGTGGCGCCAGAGCAACATGCGCGTCATCACGGCTGTGTATCTGCACGTCCGGCCGGAGCTGCGCGACGAGTGGCTCGCGGGCAGCGACGTCGACGCCGAGGTGGATTCGGCGCTGCCGCTGGAGCAGGCGATACGCAGCCTGACGCACTGGTTCAACATGCGCAAGTACCCTGAGCAGGTTGCCGGTGACCTGCGGTCGGCGTATCGCGAGAAGCAGAGTTTCTTCATGCGCGAGCTGGAGAAGCTGGGTATGAACTGGCACGACGCGGGGGGGGACGACATGGTCAACAGTGAGTGACTTTTTTTTGGGGGGTGTGCCTGGTATGCGCTGTGCTAATCTCGTGGCAGTGCAAGCGGCAAGCTATTAGCAAAAGTCTCAGCTGCCACGCTGATGGTGAGGTTGACCGTCTTCAGCTGCGGTATGCTGCAAGGGAATTGCGAATGACCGAATCATTACGTGGCATTATAGGTGCATCACGACTACTTTACAGCGATGGATATGATCTGGATGATTAAGCGACATGGATTAGACATTAGGTTGCTAAAGCGACTATGTTTACAAGAGCTGGGTGCTATTTAGCCTGTGATGAGTACTTTTCGTAGATGTGAAGCCATTCAGCGACGGTCAAAGGTGCCGTCCTCGTAGCGGTACGGGTTCGTCTGGCCGGCGTGAACGCCCGCCGTCTGCTGGGGCAGGGGCTGGGCGTAGGCGGCGTCGTGGGTGTGCGTCTCGTTGGAGACGCCATAGGCGGTGCCGGGCGGGACGACGTGGTCGTTGGCCATGCCGTTGCCGGTGCCGTTGGCGTAGCCGTAGCCCGTCTCCGACTTGGGGTGGGCGTAGGGGTGGGCGTCCTGGCCCGGGGCGACGGCCGTGGCCTCGGTGTTGTAGCTGTTGCGGACCTGGTCGGGGGAGGTGTGAGCGGGCAGGGCGTTGTCGTTGTCAAAGGCGCCGGCGCCGCGGGCCTTGCGCTTGGTGCGCCAGCCGAAGAGGCCGCCGGCGGGGCCGCGGGTCTTCTTGCCGCCGGAGCCCGAGGTGTAGTTGTTGTCGGGGCCGGGGCCGAAGCGCTTCTCCTTCTTGTGGTGGCGGACGAGGAAGACCTCGACGAGGATGGAGAGCAGGAAGAAGACGATGGCAACGATGGCGACGGCGAAGCAGGCGGTCTGCAGGCGGCAGGCCTGGCGGAAGGAGGGCAGGTTCGTGAAGCCGTCGGTGCCCTGGACGTCGGCGGCGGAGCGGCCGCGGCCGTAGGGCGTGTCGACGTAGCCGTTGCACGAGGAGGCGCCGTGGCGGTTGGCGTAGGCGACGTAGATGAAGGCGCCGGCGAAGGCGAGGTCGAGCAGGATGGCGATGGCCGAGGTGAAGATGCGGCCGGCGAGGCAGCAGAGCAGGACGAGGCCGAGGATGGTGTAGAGGACGGCGGCGCCCGAGATGCCCGTCACGGCGCGCACATGGGTCGCAATGTGAATGTTGTGATTGGAGAGGGTGGCCAGGAAGTAGGAGAAGATGCCGAGCACAATGGCGGCGCAGCCGAACTGGACGCCGCGGATGAACCACTGCAGGAACTTGAGGGCGACGCCTTTCGCCATTGTTGCGATTAGCTGTTGTGGTGGTGGTGTTAAGGATGTGATGTGTGTAAGGGGCGAGAGGGGATGGAAGTGGTCAGCAGCAAAGTTGAGTCGCGACAGTCAATTCTCTTGCTGGCAATACTGTCACAGTGGTGTTTCAACAGATTCAGGTCATGGTCCGGTCATGTCTATACAGGGGACGGGGGAGGCTGCTTCATATGTGCGTGTGCTGCCGGCACTTGGCTGCACAACTGCAGTGTAGGCCTTTAGCGTCGATCCAAGGCCTCCCCTCCCCTCCTTGTCCTCTTGGCACCTTGGTGTGATGCCGCTACGCGGAGCAAAGCCATCGTCAGGGATCGGAGCTTTGAATAGGGAGGAGACGCCATGATGATCTATTGTCGAGTGGATGAGACGTTCGCGGATGGCATGATGACGAGGCGGCATGTGGCTGGCGACCCCGCTGATGTCATTGCTGAGGGGCAGTCTTGGTATATGATTGGTTGGAGGGCCATGACGGTGGAGGCGAGCACGGCCACAGCCATGTGGCGCGGGAACTGTGGCGGCGTCGCCATCTCCACGAAACCTGGTCCAGTCGTCAGTCGAGGGACGGACCCGGTCCAGGTCCTGATCCAGGTCCTGATCCAGGTCCTGATCCAGTCGTCAGTGAAGAGTCCTGGTTCACGTCGGAGAGTCCGACGCAGTGCTGGCTCGGCTGCTCAGAGTCTGCTAGTCGTAGTTCGATGGTTGTACTCGACGAAAGTAGCCGACCAAGGGACAGACCAAAGACCTCATGAAGTCGGGTTAGGGTACGGGTGCTGAGGTCATTGTGGGTTGGCGTTGGTGTTGGATCGAGTTATTAGCGTCGCGCTGGAGGGGCGGCATGACCTCAAGCCCAAACTCTCTTCTCGGCGGCCACTGGATGAGCCAAGAGAGCTTGAGTGAGGTTCGGGAGAAAGGTCCCACACCGTCTGCTCGGCAGCTAGTCTTCCCGCGTAGCGTTGGATCTGCAAACAGCTGGTTGGCACCAAGAAAGCAGCCCGTTCATCTTGCTTCGATGGGGGTTGAGGTCGTGGAATCTTGATGACGTGCCTGTAGATGACGGTTGACCTGATTGCACTCGGCAACTTCCAATCGTGCCCCTTTGAGACTCGTTGGGATTCGGACGTTGAGGAGATCAATATTTGATGGCTTGGGTAGATGTTGGGAAGCTGTAAGCAACCTCCTGCCTTCTAAGTAGGTATCTAGAGGTAAGGTTCGGTACCTAGGTAACTGGGCAAGGCAGGAAGACGGACTCATCCCTTCCGTGCATCTCTCAACCAACGAATGAGAGCGTCCGAATATCGACTGACTGACCCTTCCTTGCCTTCGCCATTTCCTATGCCTGGCCCTTCCTGCCTCGCCCTCCCCGCCTGGCCAGTCTCCTCCCCAAGACTCATCACATTGCTGCTCACAATTCAGCAGACGGCTCTGTCGGCATCTTGCCTCGTATTCATGCCATCTGGACGACACATCATCTGCAGGAAGCGATGCCTTGGCAGGTCAAGGAAATGGTCCAAGCAACTGACAAAAGGAGCTCTTAACGGCATTGATATGGCCACACCGAAGCACCACAGCCTCATGGCGAACTGGAAGCCCGTTTCGCCGCAGCCTTCTGCCGTCCCATCGTACAAACATTGTCCAGGCCGAGCTCAGATCACGACAGCCCTGACAAGCTCCGCGTGCGTCCAGAGAGCCACGCCGAGGTCTTCGTGGCAACGCGGCAGCTGAAGAGATGCATCAATGCCATGTACCCTGCATGCACGACAGGGCAGCCTTCTTCTGCCTTCGGGTTGTTTTGCCGCATTGGCATCCATCGTTCCATCCATCCTCTGTCGGTGACACGCATCCCCAACCTCGAACCTCGACAGCATGCCACGACACCACGCCCGTCAATAGTTTCCAAACTGACAGCAGGAGTCCCAGAGGAAATCACATGCCAGAGGCCGCAGCACATGGCGATCAACCAAAGCACGAGAACGCTGCTGAGTCTTGGCACGGACCAGCGCTTCGGGAGTTGTGGGCGATCAGCCGTTGAACCCCTCCCATCCGAGTTCCCACCCATATCGAACGTTGAACCATCTATCAGTTCGTATTGTTTATCTTCCTCCTCAGGAGAAACGCCCAGACTGAGGTGTCGAATCCATTCTGGTTGGCTGCCTACCAAGTTCCTGAAGATCTTGCGCCTCTGCCGAGAGCTACTTATCTCTCTAGGCCACCGCCATCACTGGCAACCCCGTAAGCCGTGGCTCAATAGTCTGTTCGTCTAATCATGCAACAAGCAGTCATCAGCACCACGCCGAAGCCCGCACGCCGCCACACCGCAGCACTGCCCAGCCTGTGAGCCGCCCAATATCGCCAGCGCAGACCAATGTCTATCGACCTGCCTGTCCCGTTCGGGCTCCTCTCGTCGCTGCTATTCCCCCTTCGCCAAGGACGTGGGCTGAACCCTGAACATCCCACCATGCGGCTGCCACCCAGCCCAACCGCGCCTCTCCAATGAGCTGACATCGCCCGACACCTTACCACGCCTCTGTGCCTTTCTGGGCCCCCCTCCCCGTCACGGCACCAGCGCTAGCGTGCGATAGCACCCTGTGCTCCATGTCCAGAAATACGAAGCCAAGCTTTCCCATCGACCACCATTCTTTTATTGCTGTCCGATATGGTAGCCAGCCCTTTCGTTGTCATTGTGCTTCGAGCCCGGCCCCAGCCGAGACTTCTTGGGACGCGGCATGAGTGCAGTGCCATGACCGCTTCCGTATGTTGGCTGACCTGCTATCGGCTTGGCTTTGTAGAGTTGGAGATGACACGCCGGGCTGTAGCTGTGCCTTTCGTCTTGCATATCGTCTATCATTATGCATCTTTCTCCCGCCCGCCATCACCTTTCCCCCTCGCCCTCCCTTCTTCTCTTTCCTCTGCTCCCCGTGGGCTGTCGGTCGGATCTGCCGCTCTCCTTGTCGTGACTATTTGGCAATTTTTTTTTTTTTTTTTTTTTTTTTTTTTTTTTTTTTCCGCTTTTGTCATCCGCCTCGTTCGTTCAGAATCTGTGCTTGTTCCACGCCTGTCTCGCCCATCTTGCACCACCGAGGCCGCGAGTTTGCCAAAGTAGTCACGATGAAGCTTCAAGCAGCCCTGTTGGTGGCCCTTCTCGGCCTCACCACTGCAGACCCGACTTGGCCCGCTGAGACGGATGAGCTTGAGGAGATCATGTTCCAGACGACGAGCACTCGCTCCCGCAAGTTTGCTGATTCGGTCTCCCCTTGCACCAACCAGCCATCCGGCCCCGGCCGTCACAACGCTGCCGAGTGGCTCCGCACCGCTTTTCATGACATGGCCACCGCCAATACGGCCCGTGGTACTGGTGGTATCGACGCTTCCCTCCAGTACGAGCTCAACAACGGCGAGAATACCGGTCCTGGGTTCGGCACGACCCTCACCTTCATGAGCCCCTACATGACCAAGAAGAGTTCCATGGCCGACCTCATTGCCCTCGGCGTCTACATATCCGTAAGAGCGTGCGGCGGCCCCGCCGTTCCCTTCCGCGCCGGCAGGAGAGATGCCACGACCGCCGGTGCCGTGGGCGTACCCCAACCGCAGAACGCCATCAGTATCTTCCGGACACAGTTTGACCGCATGGGCTTCTCGCCACAAGAGATGATTCAGGTGACCGCGTGTGGCCATACCATTGGCGGCGTGCACTCGGCCGAGTTTCCAGATATCATCCCAGCGGGCACCGCAACGAACGGGCAGATTGCCCTCGACTCGAGCGTCGCCGTCTTTGACAACAAGATTGTCACTGAGTACCTCGATGGCACGACCCAGAACCCGCTCGTCGTGGGCCGTGCCGTCGGCCTCAACAAGCACTCCGACTTCAAGGTGTACAACTCGGATCGCAATGTCACCATGCAGGCCATGGCCTCGGCTGCCGCCTTCAACGAAGTCTGCAAGACGGTGCTGCAGAAGATGATCGACGTCGTGCCTCCCAGCGTCACCCTAACGGCACCTCTTGAGCCGTACCAGGTCAAGCCCGTCGGCCTGCAGCTGACGCTCTCTACGCAAGGCACCGTCATCGAGCTGACAGGTTTCATCCGCATCCGCACCACCAATGTGCCACTTACCTCTATTGCAGGCCTGACCATCAATTACAAGGCACGCAACGGCGGCAACGACTGCGGATCAAGCGGCTGCTCATTTCCTCTTACTGTCCAAGGCGTCGGCCGCGGCCTCGACGACTCGTTCGCGTGGTTTCCCATCGCCCGTAATGTACCGCTCGCTAGTGGCATCTCCTCTTTCACCGTCACAGAGCGCCGCACAGATGGCACAAGTACAGTCTACGACAACAACGGCGCCTCATATCCCATCCAGGACGCCGTCTTTCTGCAACGCTATCAGAGCTGCCTTCTGCAGTCATCCGGCGTGACGACTCTCACAGCCGCAGTCCGCAACGACCGTGCCGAGTTGCCCGTCCGCGCCATCGTATCCTACAAGACAACCCAGACCGGTAGCGTCGTGCCTGCCCTCAATACCCTGACGCTCGAACTGACCCGCGGCCCTTGCATCGGCCCCTATACACTATTTTCGGCATCGACCACCATACCTGGCGGCCGTAGCGTTGAGGCTACTTTTGATATTCTTAGCGGCGACCGCGTCGACGCCTTCAAGAAGGCCAATATCCTCGGCGGGACATGCCAGTCTCGGCCTGTCAGTAACGTCTGCAACACACCAGTCATTACCTCCGCCGTGCCTTCGGCCACCTCTACCACCATGACGACGATATCCTCGCCCGCGCCTTCGATATACCGCCGCCAGACGATGGGCTCCTATACTCTTGTCTCCTGCTGGTCCGAGCCTCCTGCCGCCCGCGCCCTGACTGGCGCCTCCTTCGCCTATGACGGCATGACTCTCGACTCCTGCCTATCCAACTGCACCGGCTTCAACTACTGGGGAACTGAATACGGTCGCGAGTGCTACTGCGGCGACGCCCTCCACTCTGGGAGCGCCGCGGCACCACTTGCGGACTGCGGCATGCCTTGCTCCGGCGACGGGACGCAATACTGCGGAGGCGGCAACAGGATCGAGCTTTACCGGACAACAGCCACAAAGACAAGCACGAGCACAACCGCCGCTCCTGGGCCGACGCGTGTGCCGAGTGTTGGCAGATTCGTGCGTGTGGGATGCCAGACAGACAATACGGGCGCCAGGGCTCTGAGCGGCGCCACGACAGCAGGGGATGATATGACACTGGACAAGTGTGCTGCTTTCTGCTCCGCATTCAACTACTTTGGCACGGAGTATGGCAGAGAATGTGAGTTGGTCCCCTTGTCCCACCGTCGCCGGATTCACGTCTTGCTTTTAACCGATCAATAATACTAATTCTTCAGGCTGGTGTGGCAATGCTCTTGACTCGTTGAGCAGTCCCGCGCCCGTAGAGGAGTGCAATATGAGGTGTGCAGGGAACCCTCTTCAGTTCTGCGGCGACGGGAACCGTCTCGAGCTGTACCGGGCAAGTGCTGCATCGTCAGCAACGCTCGCAAGTTCAACCGCCGCCACCACGGGCGGCGCTGAGTCGAGCGTCAGGCTCAGCGAGGCCACGTCTTCTTCGAGTGCTCCATCACCCACCGGCCCTTCGCCCGTTCCGACAGTTTCGCCCTTCACACTCGTCGGCTGCCAGGCAGAAGCGACGTCTGTCCCGCGTGCCCTGTCGGCAAAGTCGACGACGTCCAACTCGATGACCCTGGCCGACTGCGCTGCATTCTGTACGGGTTACCGCTACTTCGGCACAGAGTACGCGGCCGAGTGCTACTGCGGCAATTCTCTCCATGCCTCCTCCTCCGTCGCGCCCCTCGACGACTGCGCCATGCCATGCGCCGGCGACCCGCTCACGCACTGCGGCGGGCCCAACCGCCTCACCCTCTACGAGGACCCGGCTCGCGCCTCGACGCCGCCTCGCGAGCCCCGCCAGCCTGCATTTGCGGGCGACTTTGTCTGGTTTGGGTGCCGTACCGAACCGGCGGGGGCCCGCGCGCTGTCGGGCAAGGAGCGCGCGGCGGACGACATGACGAACGAGTCGTGCGCCGCGTTTTGCGAGGGCTTCGCCATGTTCGGCACCGAGTACGGGCGCGAGTGCTTCTGCGGCGACGAGCTGCACGCCGGGGCCGCCGAGGCGCCCGAGGAGCAGTGCAGCATGCTCTGCGCGGGGGCGGACGACGAATTCTGCGGCAACGGCAACAGGCTCTCCGTGTATGTGAGGCAGGAGGACGAGGCATGATAGGAGATCCGAGGCTGAGGGCTGCACCCTTGGGGGTGTCCCCCTGGTAGCGGTGCGTCTTTTGCGTACGAGTAGTCTAGCATACTTCGAGGACTGACCAAGTCTCTTCAAGTGCAAAGCACATGGCTGCATCTTGCCCCTCCGAGATTTTGGAGTTGAATGGAGTTGAAGGGTAATTCCTGGGGTATATATATAATGGGGAAATGCACAGTCCCGTCATGGGTGAAATCCCTAATGTCAAAGTTGAACTACGCGTTGCCAAACCATCGAGTGATTCAACGACGGCATGGTGCACGGGGTTTCTCGGCATCATCTTGCGACTCCAGTCAGGCCAACGACGATGTGCCCGAATGCCGCCTCAGTCGACGAAATGTGAACCTCATTGTGTGTCGCTTGCAATAGGACATGGCCGAATGGGTCTCCACCCGATAGGCAAACCGAAGATAAAGTACCCAACGATTGTGCGGCAGACGCGAATCAAGTCAGGACTCTAGACATCATCTTCATCATCACCATCACCACCAAGCAGGACAGGACATCACCGCGCAACGACTACAAGACGTAGTCGGTCATCTGCGGCAAGCCGCATAGCTCAGGAGCCGCAGACGGCTGTCACGAGTCCACCCCCATCAGAGTCGTAGGACACACGCGGCCTGACAAGAACTGGTCGCTCTCGGTCCGCGCAACCCCATCACGAGCGTCGTCCGAGGGCCGACAACGGTTCACAATGACACCGCACCAAGCGACGCAGCACATTGTCCTCGTCGGGGCCTGCTACCTTGACACGATACTCAGGCAAGGGACCTCGTCCCCCCCCCTCCCCTGGCGGCCGACGCATCGCTGACCGCACGTCTGACAGCGTGCCCCGATACCCGCGGGAAGACGAGAAGCTGCGCGCCACGGAGCTGCAGGTCCGTCACGGTGGCAACTGTCCCAACTCCCTGCAGGTGCTGCGGCAGCTCCTCGCGGCCGAGGGCGCTCTCGCCAGCCGGCCGGCGAGCGAGACGCAGCTGCACCTCGTCTCGCTGCTGCCGCAGCGCGACAGCCCCGCGACGGAGCAGATCCTCGCGTCGTTCGGCCGGGGCCCGTCGCCTCCCGTGGACTTTGACCACTGTCTGTTCCGCGCGGGCCACATGGCGCCGGCGAGCTGCTACGTGCTCCGCAGCGCCGCGACGGGCAGCCGCACTATTGTCAACAGCAACAAGCTGCCGGACATGACGGTGCGCGAGTTCGCGGCCATCGTCACGGCCATGACGGGGCGCGCGGGCACGGGGCGAGACGCGGGCCGCTGGTGGTGGCATTTCGAGGGACGCGAACCGGCAACGACGCTCGCGTGCATGCGCGTGCTGCGGCGCGAGCTCGGCGAGTCTGTCCTGATCAGCGTCGAGGTTGAGAAGCCGGGCCGCGAGGGCTTGCGCGCCCTGGCGGCTGAGGCAGATGTGGCCTTCTTTTCCAAGAGCTGGGCTGAGGTGAGTCGCATCAAACGTTGCTTCTGCGGCACGGCCGAGCAAAAGAGAGAGAGACATGCCGAATGTGTCTGTGTGTGAGAGCTTGATCACTGAGACCTGCGGTGCTGCCTAGGATTGCGGATACACATCGTCTGAGGCGTGCTTGCTCGGGGAGAGGCCGGCTCGTGCGTAAGTTGCAGATGAAGAAGCCCCCCCGCGGATTGTCTTCGGGCAATACGTGAGGTCCATCCTCAACTGACCGACGACCTAGGTTCTTGGCCTTCTGCACCTGGGGCGCAGCCGGGGCGGCCTCTCTGAGCCTGGGGGAAGATGCCTGCGTCCATCATCCGGCGCGAGTGCCCAACGGAGACGTCGTCGAGTAGGTTGACCAGTGGCTTGCCCTCCCTATCTGATTTCAACAAATGGCTCATTATCAAAAACAGTACTGTCGGTGCTGGAGACACCTTTATCGCATGCGTCCTGTATGGCCTGGCTCATCGGTGCGACTGGCTGAACAGGGAGGCGGTGCTGGGCTTCGCGGTGGACACGGCCACCCTCAAAGTGCAGCGAGAGGGATTCGATGGACTCGCCACTGATGCACTAGCCAACAGCAAGCACCAGCTCCATCCAGAGAGTTCAAGGTGAGCGGGTGCTCATGTCGGGCAGCCAAGATTCCCCATCTGGTCAGATGATGCAAGGCCGAAAGGGTCGAGACCTTGAGAGGGCGGCACATTCACTGAGTCTAGTGTACCATGCACGTCAAGAGGTGAAGGGAGCGCGCGGCCGATGGCTTGCTGGCGTGCAGAATAACAAGGAGGCTTGAGGGGAACAGCAGGATCGCCATGCGGGTGTTGAGGGTGACGCACGTCGTACGAAGTGGGTGAGTCTGTCGTTTGCAGGTGCTTCGGCGCTGGAATGCCGTGGGGGGGTAACAGGCGGTGAGTGACTCAATTCACGAGCGTACAAAGCAGGAGAAGAAAAGTCATCCGTCCCGTATGTGCTGCCTGAAGCACCATTCAGGGCGATTTGCCGCTGCTGCTTGGGCTTATGCTTGTTTCATGCCATGCCGCCTGTGGACAGTCATTAGTTCGTTGGCTCGACACACGTGCAGGTGTGTCCTGTGCTGTCGCTGCTCCCCTCCCAGAGAGAGCAGCGATGACTGAGAAGAATGCAAGGAACGTGAGACGCCTCAAGAGCGCGGTGGAGTGAGAGGGGGTCAAGATGGCCATGGCCAGCTTGTTCGTATGCAGGAGACTCCACGCGTACGCCCACTGCGCGCGCTGACAAGCCAGATGGAACCGAGACTGGCGACAAGGTTGCCTGTCGGCAGGTTTGTGCCTGTTCATCCATCCTCAACACGGCGACAGACCCACGATGCGACACCAAGGCTGCGATATTCCTCGCCTAGGACGTGTCAAAAAGGTTCCAAATGGGGAGGTCAGAACTCGCCGTGCTTGGGTTTGGATGGATCACAAAGCCGAATGCCAATGTGGATTCACTGACCGGCGCGGGATAGCATCGAAACAGCTGGCCTTCTCCCCCTCTGCCCCTCTCCATACCCCCCTGGACGCAGGATGGCGCCCCTTCATGTTGTGGAGGAGTGGCAAACAAACAGCGCAAGGAGACGATGGAGCACTCGCAACGTTCGGTCATGTGCAGGCCTGGCTGGGCATCGACGAGATGAGACCGGCAAATCGGAGCAGCAAGTATACCTTACGGTCCTCCCTCACTCTCCAGGGGTAAGATGGAGGCGGCATGAGAAGGGATGTTATGAGATGAGATGGGTGGCCGGGGGGTGGCGTCAAACGAAGCCTATGGACTGACCAGCGGCCCAGCTTTGCCCTGGTTGCGGTGTTGGCTGAGTAGCTGGTAGAGGGTTGCAAGGGCGCCGTGAAGATCATTCCAGACTGATGAGACCCCTTTGCCAAGCGGAAAGGGCTTGCTGGTTTGGGCTATGATCGGAGGTTCACCTAGGATAGGGCCATGAGGGAAGTATGATGCATGGACTGGAGGACGTAAATGGTATACCAGTAGTCCATACGATCCTGGGCAGACCAGGTAGCAAGTGACCAGCGTCAGACAATTGCTGCGCTGGCTATTTCCAAGCTAGTGAGCGATTGGAGGCCAGGGCCGCTTGGTCGAACGCGCTGCCTGTGTCTCGTTCACCATGTAATTCCGAGCTTTGTTGCAGCCAGGCAAGGCCGCTCTTCTCGCGAGTCAGATGGAAGCGGCCCAGGTCGTCACTGCGCGATGGGGATGGTCTCTCCTGTTTCTGTCATCATGTTGCCGTCCATTTATTGGAAGCGTACCGGAAGGTTAAAGAATGCCACAGTCTATAGCGAGGGGCGAGGGGAAGGGCAGAAAAAAGCCCGATATCAGCATGGGTCAGGGTGGCCTTGGGTCGTCTCTTCCCCTACTCAGCCAGGTACTGTAAAGCGCATAGCGGCATAGCGGACGAAAAGACCCTGTTATGGCTCAGGACACCACGCGCCTCACATCTCGACCCCATCGGGCCAGGCCAGCCCCTTGGCCGATGGACCTTACAGGTGCATACATGGTACATGTATGACCCATGGCATCGGTTGCGTTGCGTCGTGGATGCGCTGGCCGGACACTTTTGCCGGGAGGAGTTTGGGTGTGGTGTCTGGCTCCTACATGGTACTCGCGACCTGCTTCGCCTGTCCAGTCCAGTACGGCTGGGCCTCCAAGTCAGATAGCGGGTACTCAAGGGCCACGCACAAAACGATGTGTTCCCTCTCCACGGCCCCTGTTCGGGGCGCCTTAATGAGCTCAACCCGCTCACTGGTTGCTCTCCACTTGTCTGCTTGGGGCCGCCCATGCGCATGATCATCTCCGAGTGTCCTCCCATCAGCACACACCCTGGCAAGCCTGGCTCGTTTCCAGTCCTGTGCATCGTAAGGTAGCATGCTTGGCACTCGAGGCACGCGTTTGGTGGTGCACACCTACAGCTAGTGCAAGTGTCGAAGTGGCATGCTGAGAGTTGGCCGTACGAAGTAGGATGGGTAAGTCTTCACGCCCATAACAGGTACCGAGCCCCCTGTAAGCGTGGCCCGCACCCGTAGGAGTTCAAAGGGGCCGTGCTTCCTGTTTCATTATCTAAGCAAGCCAGCACATCGTCGAGAAATAGGTGGAAGTACCTGCCAGCTGCCCAGGGCCGCACGGGCCCAAAAGATACTTGACAGGGGTGTGAAAACTTTGGCCTGGTACTGCGTAGTGGAAGTGTAACCAGGCCAAAGGCTGTCTGTCGCTGGTAGCTCTGACTCTGGACGGATCCAATGAGCATCATTCTCGAGACCGCTTCTGCCGCCCTCACACATCGGGCCTCCGCCATCTGCGACAGCCTCATAGGCCTATGCACAATGATCGGCCGAAACCCAGACCGTGCGAGACGTGATGTAGATCATCCTTCAGCCCGAACCCGTTGGACGTCGTCAGAAGCTGAAATCCACCCCTACGCTTGTTTTCTCAATCATGCGAAACCGGCCATATTGGTGGTGATGGTCCTTGAACTCATGTATCGCACCAAGCCCAGGAAAGTCTCGAGAAGAGAAAGTCATGTCGCACAGTCGTCCTGTCTTCCATCATGACACGCAAGTTTGGACTTGTCCACTATCGGGCCCTTTCCTTGACCGGGAGTTGTGGATGGGCCGGGCTGTACGTGGATTGGTTTCCAGGTGCCGAGCCATCAGCGTGGGAAAACAAAGCCACCGGATCCCCTAGATCGAGCTGACGGTGGCATATGAGGCGATGCGAAATCATATTTGGCCAAGTGGCTCCAAGTGGCTCCAAAGCCAGCAACACCCCCACCGACCGTCGTGAAAGTCAAGGTTATGTCGGCCCTAGGCACGTACCCCCTAATGTGGGATAGAACATCAGCCAAGCAAGGTTTGTCATGTTCCTCCTCCCCTCCCCGGCCGTGCTTTGACGACGAGTCGATGGCTTGCAGGCCACCCTTGGGTGTGGCCCACATACTCCGACATCCGGAACATGACAATAAAACGTCACTAACTCAGTAGCAGATCAGTGTTCAAGTTGAGTTATGTGTGAACGAATGAATCGTGCTTCTGGCGGGCATCGAACGATGGCACGTCCTCAGGAGGGAAAATAGGAACCGTCGGCAGAGGAGCAAGCCCGCCACACCGCTGGGCCTGTAATGCTCAGCGCGCTTTACACCTTGTCTCCCACTATCGTTGATGGTGGAGGCACTTGTCACAAACTTACCTCCACCCCTCGGAACCGCTCGCTACCATACCACTTGGCGATCCTTTCAGGCCTCAACTACACGTAGACATACGAGCGACGACTGGTCTCGAGTGGATAGCCTTGTCCATCGGCTGTCGAGGCGAGAATGTGTCTCAAGTATCGTCTGCTTTTTGGGCCGCTTGGTTGTCATCAGAACGAAGAGACCAGGTCAGCCATCTCGAATCCTCAGCTCGGCACCATGTAGTTGCCAGGTTATGGGAGAATGCGTTTGAGACCGGGATCGTCGCCCCTGGGGGTCCAACGGGCGAATTGCCATAGCAAGAACGATGGTCGGTCATCGTGAACCGCGCAAGGCATTGTAGCACACGGTGGCGGCCGAGTTTTGTGCCGCTTTGGACCGTGCGTTAGACTTATACATCCGACTGGGTGGTGGCGTAGGTGGGGATATGGGATGACCATATCGGTAACGGGACGGCAAGGGATGGCCGGATCCAGGGAATGAGCATGGCCTCAGAGGGCGCTAGCCTCCGCCGCATCTGCAAACGTATCGCGTTTTTCGTGGTGCATAATGCGCTGTGCTGAGGGGCTTGGGGAGGGGGGTGTACATGGTACTGTTGCTGTTGTGGACAGGCTAGGCTTCACTAGGCCACAACGAACCTGTTCCACCGAAAGATGAGTGGTTTCACTTTTGTTGGAGTCGCCCGCGCGTCCCGTGGGAGAGGTCCTTGGGGGTCCAGGTCAGCATCCCACATCCTTGTAATCAGGAAGCCGACTGTAAGGAGCTCTCAACACCTATAGCTGGGGATCTTGGTTCTCGGATTGCTGGCCCCTTCGACGGGGACACTTGGCGACTTGTGTCATGAAGAGGCACTTTGGCCATGAATAGTGACGCGCGCAAAATAATGCCGTCAAAGCAGGGCAGCCAGAGCTCAGGGGAACATGATTCAAGACAACCATGGTCTGATGCGTGTCCGAGGGAAATCGCACCGCTTGCTCAGCGAAACAGTGAGAGAATACTTGTATAGGCGGAACAGGTCTGGACCGGTCAACCAAGCAGTTTCCAACAGGCCGAAGACTGGACGTGACGTTGCCGTTTTGGCGATCTATTGATGCTGCACAAGGTTGGCAGCCCATTGTGGAGCAGGCTGGACGAGCGAGGCATGATGCGAATGACCTGCTGATTCTGCGCAAAGAGTGGATCTGCGAATTGCTCGGCCTCACCCCTTAGACCGCCGGGCGCTAAAGCTTGGTCATTCGTTTTCGGGAGAGTGCAACCAGGCGACGACAATACACCGCCTCATCGGGCCGGCATTTGGGTGGACACAGAGACGGCTGTTGTCAGCTCACATTTTGGGGGTGTTGATCAGCACACAGGATGAGGTTTTCTTTTGCGCCAGGATCTGTGCCCGGCTCCGCTCTAGAATTTGCACAAACTGCCTGACAAGTGTCACTCAGAGATGTAGCGGCATTTCTTGTTGCTGAAAGCTCATCGTGTTGAGACGGCGTGGCTGCCCTAGGGAATCGAGCGACATGACGAACAGGCGTGTCAGGCTCGCTGGTAGCACGAGAGACAAGCGTGTCGCCCTCGCTTCCGTTTGGGCGTTGCAAGACTTGTGAGGTTGTGGGGTTTAGGTGAAACCAGGTTCGAATAGGCTCAAGGCTCAAGGCTCACGGCTCAAGACTGGAGGCTGGAGGCTGGAGGCTGGAGGCTGGAGGCTCGAGACACCTGGAAGTTGTTCTCGAGCCGAAGCGATGTGACGCCTGTGTGTGCTGCGTCTGATTCTGGACCTGGGAAAGTGGGCAGGTGGTAGTCCAAACCCAACATGGTGCGTTGGGAACAAGTGCTGCAGGCTGTAACGTGTAGCTCACACAGGCAGGTAAGCGCCAGCCATCGTGGTTTCGCCGACTGAAGGACAGGGCGCGAGGCTTCGTCGCAAGAACGAAGAAACAAGGTGCCAGGTGACTTGGCGGCAGGCCGCATGCTGCAGGCATCGACGTGGTCGGGATGAGACGAAAAGTCGGCTGCAGGCAGGTCTTGTTTCCACCGGGGGACGATGCCGCTCGGCGAAAAGGGGGGAGTGGTTTGTTGGGCGCTGTAGGAACACGTCTAGGGAGTTTGACTTGACATTGGCATGGCACGTCTGCGGAGCGTGTGTCCGGATAAATTTGGCGAGAGAGAGCAGGCAGCCAGAGAGCAGGCAGCCAAAGAGCAGGCAGCCAAGTGCTGGGTCTGGGTGTGTCAGTGTCAACCAGCAGGTACCAGTCACCCAGTTGTTCTGCGCTACTGCCTGCCGACCAACCTACCCGATTACATGCACACCTGCCTCCTACATGTAGTAGGTAGGTAGGAAATGATGATGAATCAATAGTGGTCGAGGGTGGCTTGGTCGGCGTGGTGTGTGGGCGATCGCACAGGGAAGGCAACTCCATCCCACACTGGCTGGCGCAGGCGGATGCAC